AAAATTTACATCCCAACTTTCAGAAAAATGTACATATATTCTGTGATCAAGAGAATCTTCTCTTCTATTTTTATTGGCATTTGGTAGCTGTAACATATTGTATGTTGTTATGATTCAATTTTATTATATGACACCTTTTAGGTTCATGTCAGTGTTATGTCATATGTCAAAAGTTTAATCTAATATCACGATGTCCAGAAGTAACCGAATGCTGCAATTAGTGAGACTAAAACAAATCTGTCCAAATGAATTTTGGATTTCCCAAAGACAGTAGAATCTAACAGGACTGCGACATCCATTGTTGTTTTGTAGCCTACCCCGGGTTGGTTGCCCGCACTCTACGTCACACTATTAGCCACGCCCAGTTAACTGTCATTGACTTCTATGCGTTTGCTGTGTGTTTTTAGAAGTTATATGATAGACATTAATATGTCTATTAGCAAACGCATAGAACACAATAATAGCTGACGTGGCAAATGGGGTGACGTAGTGTGTGGGCACGTTGTCACAACAATGAATGTAGCAGTCCTGTTAGATTCTGCTGTCCTTGGGATTTCCCAAATAACAATAGGTATACTTTTTGGGTTCTATATGTCACATAGCAATAAAGTAATAGATTTATTTTTTGAGATATAGTAATTGCGATATTGAAAACTGATTAGGGTAGAGCATCAACTCATTTATCATGTTCTATTACTAAGAATACCTATAATGCTACTATTACTAATGTTTCTACACTATCATCTAGACATCAAAAGTTTCCTGAAACGCACGAACTTATTGAAGCTATGGATAACTGCACACACTTTATTTCTGAAGAGTTTCTTAATTCTCCTGAGATTTTCCTGCCGAGGATATTTTAACTCGTATATGTTTCATATAATCCTTTTGTATGGGACCGAAACTTGGATGCTATTAGTTCGCTCGATGACTGGAAGCCATTGAAATGTGGATAATTACCAATGAAACAGCACTAAGAAGAATAAATGTAGATAGCGAAATTCTTACGATTATCAAGAGACGAAAGGTAAAGTACCTGGATCATATTTACAAAGGCAGAAAATATGAATTCCGAAGGCCATTTGCACACGGAACTGAAAAAGAACTAACAATGAAGCGAATTATTAACCAATTTGCTTTGAGTCACTTCCTATGTAATCAAATGGGACGCCACCCATGGCGCTACTGATTGTGGACTTGTCTGTGATTCACGGAAAACAGTTTGTAGTCGACTCGCATGTAGGGTCGCTTTGACTTTCCAGTTCCAAGTCTTGAGAAGTCTTTTGCTCGTGGCAGAAGTAGAGAAAGGTGCATTTTTATATAATTTTCAGCTTCCAGGCTACTCAAATAAACATGAAACAGAGAAGGTATGGGTTGAGATAGCCGTTCCGCAACTTTCACAGAGTCTCTTATATTAATATCCTATCTCTGGATCACAGGAAGATTAATCTCGCCAGTTCCAAATAACTTTCTTTGGATATTCTATACAGTGCTACAAAGTTTTTATCTGAAAATTCGAATTCCTTTGCAGCAACAAATAAAAATGGTGGCAAAAATTCCTCTCAAGGTATGGGAGGACCCACAACCATCTTCTGTTCATTCTTCTCCTTTTAGTATAATATGTCATGATGGTTCATAGTTACTGGAAATGCCTTCTGAAGTTGACAAATGACACTTGTTAACTGTTTTGCATCCATGACTAATCTAAACAAACTTCAGGTTTTGATCGCTGATGGGTTGCTTCGTGTGTGGAACGTGGACATTAATAAGTCAGTAACTGTTTAGTCCAACCAATTTAGTTCGTTTTCAGCAGCTACGTGTGCAGACCGCCTAAGACTTATAATGGAAGGCAATGTTGAGAGTAGAAGAGAACAAGGTGAGGAACAGAGAACGATCTGCCAACTTTCTATTAAAACGGCACTTTAAGAAGAAGAGAATATTTCAATCATACTACACAATGAAATCATAGTTTAATAGATAAGTGGTACCTTTCTTATATTGGAGAATAAGTACTCTTCGTGTCTATGAAATTAGTTAGACTTCTGAATAAATAATCAGGATTTTGACATTCATGCTAACGTGCCTCTTAAGATTAAGGCTCTAATAAACCCAATGAACTATTGGCCTCGGCGTAGTAGGAAAACTTTTCGAATTTTGAGCAATTTAGGTTTTCTAAAGAATCCACCAATTTAGTTTCCAACCTGGCAGATCATCGGCTGTTTTCTTTTTAAATTAGATATATTAAAGACAACATTTCTCCATAGTTTCACCACTCAACAAGACTGTCCTTAAGGATTTCAATCTCTCTTTTACTGTAAATGTCTTTGACTTGAATTTATACTCTTTACATGCAGAGAATACAACTTTGATTTGATACAACGCAAATGTTATAAAAAAATATATAAACATAAAATTTTTCATTCAATTCTTTCTGATACCTTTTGCAGTGAACCCTTCAAGATGAAAAGGTGCTTTCGTACTTTCTATACGTAGTGAATAAGTACTAAGATAATGCCATTTTATGCTTTATGCGAGGTTTCTGATCCCATTGAGGTGACCTTAAGACATCTGCGTTATTATTTATTGTTATACCCCAGTCTTACTCCTTCCTGGTAGTACGGGAAGTGGTCAGCACTACGTACAACTCAAAAAGAAACATACGTTAATGGCGGAAATCGTTTTAGACATCACTTATTAACCTTCAGAATCCCGTCCGAGTCAGCAGTGCCCAAATTACTTCTGGATCGTTATATTTAATCAGTTTGTCGTGTTATGATATGTTACAGAGAAGGAATTTGAATTTTCTTAGTTAATCAGATACATCGTAACACCTATCTGATGCTTATTGGTCATAACTAAATTGGATTTGCCAAGTGAGCTTGATTCTAGGCAAATCCGGATTATCAGGAGTTTGCATTGTTCTTCACCATGTCATAGAAAATGTTATGGTGAGTTAATCATAGTCCTAAAATCACCTCCAGTCCTCAGTAAATTTTGCAACAAATTCATCGATGTTTTAGCTTAGCCTCACAGACGCCCTCCAAGGCCGTCTCTTTAACGTCCATATGGAATAAGTATTAATGTCCAGTGGACGTGGAAAATTTGGTTACGTGCAGTATTTTCAGTACGTAGATCTACTAATTATAAGTCTATTCAGGGCATGTAGTGATTTATTCTTCACTCAACATTTTTTGCAATGCAATCCGTAGAATGTGGTAAAGGTTGAACACGTAGAGTTTTTGGAATTATTTTAACGGCACTGATTTCACTCTCCTTACGTATCGATAACTTGGTTAAGCTTTGGCATTTCCCTGCCATCGTAGGAGTCTTTTGGCATTTCCTTTCTCTGTGGGACCATATTTACTAAGTTTAACAAAAGGCAGAACACAGACTTAATGTGCAGAATTCATACCTCGAAGAACGTCATGCAATTATGTAGGAGTTCACGCATTGTCGACGTTAAGGGAGCACAAGATTATGCGTACTTTCTACTCAAAATGTAACGCAACTATCTACTCAGCGCTCGAATAACTATGATGAGTGTTGAAGAGTTTTTCCCAAGGCCAAGACATTCCTTGTAAGATTGAATTATGGTGTTCAAAATTAAATTGTTAGCCATCAACTCCACAGAAACAATATCTACGTAAAATTTGATGCTTTTTTATGGGTCATAGAGGTTCTGTTAGATAGCAAGTGAAGTATTGGGTACTCCTGGGTCCTCTAATTATGTCTACAACGATTAACGTATTCTCGAGCCTAACCCACCTGCCCTGAGTTATTCTTGTCTACCAAAATGTTAGAATATTTTTCCCAACAAGGAAGAAATATAGCTCAAAGATATTTAAGAATTCTTTTCAGTGTTAAGAGGCTGTTGAGTGGCAATGAACGCAATGTAATAAGTTATGTAGAAAAGGATATTTATATTACAGTTATAGAAGAGATATTTTTATCTCATTATCCAAAGATTTGCATCCATTATAAATAATTATTTTAAGGCGTGTTAAACCGATTTCAATTTTTTTTCAATACTTTTAGTTTTTAGTTAAAAAAAAATTATCTTTCCCTCGATACAGCTTTAAACCCCCAAATTTATTCACCCCTTCAGGTTACACAACCAATGTTGGGACATGTCTTTATTGCTTTCTGTGCCTTCACCACAAAGACAAAAAAAAATCAAAAGTAATTTCAGTTACTCAAACAGAAACGGGTAAATAAGACGGCCCTTTTATTGAATTCCACTAAATCCAAACGAAAGATTGATTTTTATTAAACCCTTAGACGTAGCGTGCTGCTACAATTAGAAATAAAGAAAATCCTCTTTGTTTTTAATCCAATCAAAAAGCGGCAAATCCAATAAAAATAAATATGACATCACAAATTCTGCTTAACTTAACGTTATTCGTTTCAGCTTTTTTTTATAAATTCTTCCAGCATTTTTGAATTTATTTTTTTTTACTGTCTAAGAATTTCTTCTTAGAAACCGAGTTTGTAACTTAATAGGGTTTACAGCTGAAGTGTTCGCTTTTGTCGACCCGTAGCTTCTTCTTCCGTGACTTGAAACTACTTCATCTTCTTTGGTATGAGTGTGCTCACCGAAGCAGTAAGAAATCGAAAGCACCAAGTCTCTTTTTATTTCACCAGTCAAGGTAAAAATGAAGGTGAAGGTCCTAAATTAATACAAAGAATGTAATGAATGGAATCGTAAAAATGCTAATTGCGCTGGGATCATATTTATTTTTAGATTATTTGCAATAAAAAGTTATTGGAGCAATTTAATTTATTTATAAAAGCTTTTTGAATCCAAAACAAGTATTTCTTTCCTATTGGGTGCTACTGAAGGATCATTTTTTTATTGCAAAATGTGAACACCTGGTCTTAAAACCGAGCACACAGTAAAACGGCCCCGTTTGTTGTTCAGGTCGTTCGTACCTGAATCTAAAATGCACGAAGCCCCAGCTCAGCTCGGAGGAGAATCGTCCTCATGGCTGTTGCTGCTACAACGAAACGACCAACTTGTTACCAGTTGATGTCGGTCCGCCGAAGCGAACGTGTCGGGGTCTTTCAAATTTACAAAAAAAAACGTTAAGCGTAAAACGGTAATAACAAAAAATAAAGATAAATTGATAAACAATAATATCTAAAAAGGAGGTCAAAAAAAATAATTTATGGTGGTTAAAATCAAAGATAGAACTTTCATTGTTGGGTTATAATTAAAATAGAGGAAGACGTGAACTTAATTAAGTATTGTCAAGTGAATTAAAAAAAATTAATAATAAATTCATGTGCCAATAGTTTTATTGAAGGAGAGGAATTAAGAAAAGTAAGAATTTAAGAATCAATATTTTTAAATAATTTTGAATAATCCAAATTCCTAAGTTTATTAGTTGTTTGGGTGCAATTTAAACTCAAATAGAATCCTTTGCTATTTTTGGCTCCTTTAAATTTATTTATTTTCTTTTATCGAACACAAAAGTATCAACAATTCCAGATTGAAATCTTCATTTCAGTTCTAATACTCAGTAGTAAATTGAAAAAATAATTTACATTTACCAGTCAACCTTGAATATAAATTAACAATCTCCTCATTCTCCAATTCAATACAAATTCAAATCGATTTAATGCCCGATTGATTAAGCCAAAATAAGATCTTACGCTCCATTGGAAAAAAAAATCTTTCTAAAATTAAGTTAGGTGACGTACTTTTTTTTAAAAACAGAAGGGGGAAATATACATTGTAAATTGTTGTAATGCGAATTGTATCCGTTTTAAACCGGCGCGAAGAGATGACATCATAGCCCGTCGTGTAAACTATGTCATTGAAACTTTCATGGAAATGTTCAAAATAATTTGAGTCGAGAAAATTATTTTTCTCGGTGTTATTTCAAAAGTTTCATAAATTAGTAAAAAGTTTTCTTCTGGGTAGCGTAAATAATTGAAAAGATAACTGCCTTGAACTTAAACTTTTTGACTTGAGATAGAAAATTTATGTTCAGAGTCCGGGAAGTTCATAATTTAATTTCGTTGAAGCACGCAACAACCTTTATTTACTAGTAAAAACATTATTTCTTATAACTTTCCAGTAACACATAATTTATTTTCTTATCAACAGACACAAAAATGCAAATATCCACGTAATCAGTTAAAAAATCGATTTTAAAATAGAACAAACGTCCATGACTTCACCACTTCACATTATAAAACAGAAGCTTTTAGATTTCATTAATGAGTTATTATTGTTATTCCATGAAAAGTCACCGGATGTGAGTGATAATGATGATTAATAGCAACTATCTTTGGTTTATTAACACCCGATTTACGACCCATCAAACCAAAACCAATCACAGTTACACAAACAGTTTCTGTTCATTTAATAAGTTGTAACAAACGGGGATTGATGAATAATTCAAAACTCGTCATGGTTTATAAATTTATATCATGACGTTTTTAAAACAGATGATGAATTTATTTTATTTATTCTGAACTTTTTTGTGTCAATAATTCATTGCTTTAAAAGGTTGAATTAATTTTTTTCATATTGATAAATCATTTGTAATTCAAATAGAGTTTATTTCGCAATGTTTTTTGCAAAACTTAAAAATGTTTTGGAACAAAAAGCTTAGATATTTTCATTTTAACGGAAAAGTTCTTCGATAAAACTTTTCACCAGATGTTTTATCCCCTTTTTTTCAGAAGATAAGAACCTTACAAAAATCAATAAATTTTTTCAAGATAGATTCAACGCCATAACCACGTACGCAAAATTTCAAAGCTACCTAAAATTTTGCGCCCACAATATCCATTAAAAGAACGTAGGTGCAATTATTATTAACAAAGTTGTAAACAATTGGTACTGAGAGAATTCAAAAGTTGTTATTCAATTTCAATTTAATGCGTTTTTTAATTGGATTTTGATACATCTATTGCTTCTTGCAAAGATTGAATGCTGTTTTTAAGTAATTGTAAAAATGAGGCATCATATTTAATTGATGTGATTTAATACGAGATCTACGCATTTTTTTTAACATTAAAGTCAAAGTCTTCCACTTTAGCTTTCTACATCGTTACTCATGAGTCTTGAAAATTATTTAATTATATCATTCAAATGATGAACCAGGTGTTTTGGTACCTACTTTTCATTTCCTTAAATAATTTTTTATTCACTTGCGAAAATTGTAATAACCCTTTTAGCCAAGCTTTTTCTGGTTAAGATGTTCCTTTTCTTTTTGTATTGGGAATGCAGACTGCGTTAATATTGTAGTTATGAATCTGAGCATATGTTGTAGTTTTCTCCATCATGTTGTTTAATCTTATAAATGTTGTTCCATTGCTAAATTTAGCAAAGTTGCTAATAACAGAACTTGTCACTTCAGGAGTTAATTAACACTTCATTTTATGATTCCATTCTGCTTTTTAAAGACTTGATTACAAGTCCTAGCCCAAGGTGCTGAATTAAAAGCGACTTGTACAGGGAACCGACTGCTTAACATGCCCATCCGACGCATGGTGTGTGACCAAAGAAAAGTTCTCTGGCTACCACCGAGTCTCGAACTTTGGTTTTTCCTAATATTCATTCTACAGTATTTGTTACTACTATTTTCATTCAGCTTTAGTTGTGTTTGCCTTCTAGTAATTTCTTTCTGGAAACTCTTATGTATTTCTGGACATTTTTATATTTCTATGTTCAATTTCTTAATCTGTTATCGTTGTTCGTTTTTGTTGCTGCTTATTCTGCACCTAAACTGCGTATCTTTACTTCCAATACTGCTTGCTGCGTTGTAGTTGCGGATGAGATCTATAAAGCTTTATATATCCCTATGTAGGGAATTATTCGGAACTTAGAATTGTGCAGAGAGTGTCCTACTTTATTACCCATTTCTGTGTCTTGTATATTGAATTTGTGTTGATCTACCCTTTGTGTATCCATGCTAGTTTTTGTATATTACCTCCTTCTCGTTTACCTCTGCTTGTACTCTTTTCTTCAGAAAGGCTTCTAACAACTTTCCCGCTAAGTCAATCAAGCGATATGTCGTATTTGTAGTTCCTGACTAAGTGACCATCTTTTTTACACTTAAAACGCAGCTTTTTCGGATCGGAACCAGTGCAACTAGTACCTCCACGTACTGCCTTCTTTCTAGTTGTCATCTTGTAAGACCTATTCTTATGTGACCGTCTCTCAAGAGAATTTTCGCGTTTTTCTTGTTTACTCTAATGGTGACCAGCTGTGTTCCATCCTTTATTGGATTAAGTTCCTCTATTTTCATGTGAATAGGTTCCTCTTCACCATTTGCTGTAAAAACAGTCTCAATTGTCGTTTGAATCTCCTACTTTTCGACCAGTGCATTCATTCCTCTTGGTGGTACAAATTTTCTATGTTAATTGTCTATAATATATTAATGTGCTTGTTTGAGCTGTGATCTATATACTATATTTCCCACAACATCACCGTTGCAAGAAACAGTTTACAGATTATTTAGGTTAGCATTTAATTATTAAGTCATGTTATTGACAAATTTGATCCTATAGACAATGTTCAAGACCGATGTTGATAGATGATAAGAAAGATGTGGGAGGCGAGGGTAGTTTTGAGTTCTATCATGGATTTCATTGCTATATTGATAAGCAATATTACTGGACGATGCAAAAGATGATGAAGGAGGCCAAGACAGTGAGGAATTATGTCGACATTTGTTAATGGCGATGTTAAACAATATCAGAGATAACGTTAAGATAAATCAGCGATGTTGGACTGTATGGACTGTATTAATAGTTGATGCAGAAAATATTGAGGGAGGCAAGAAGTGCGTTGAGAGAAGTCAGGTATGATGTTAAGGGATGCTGTAGACACTGTTGAGTAAAATCTCACGAAATCTTAAAGACGATAAAAATGAATGATGTACAACACATTTAAGGAGGCCAGAATGATATTAAAATGTGTGGGATTATGTTGAGAGATGAAAATGACGATATTGAAGGATGCCATACACAATGTTAAAGAAGACTAAGGCCAATATTGGAATTGCGTGGGGGCGATGTTGATAAATGAGATAGAGAGAGACTTTAAAAGAGCCCGAAACAATGTTGAGAGATATTAAGAAAGATGCTTACATAACTTAAGAAACATGCTGATAAATGATAGGGACGATGTTGAGGAAGACAGTGAGGGATGTTTTGGGTAAGGTGCTGGGAGAGAAACCGCGTAACATATTCTTATATTAAGATTATTAAAGAGTACTGTATCTGTAATTAGGTTCTTTTTATTTATTTTGTGCGCACAATCCATTTCTTTGTATTTCTTTTCAAAAATTGTAATATCTCAGTTACTTTTCTGCCCATCTCTTTTAAGTGTCGCAAAGAGCTACGGATTCATCATCATTTTTTAATACACTCAATGTCAATTTGTTCATCTTGGTACCAGTACAGCTGTTGTAAAACAATTCAGTAAAGGAACTAGAAAAATATGTTTTGTTTTATATTCGTTTGAAATTATACAAACTATTTGACAACTTTTTATTGCTAACAACTCTATAAGTAATGTTTTAACCGGATTTTATATTGCAAAACATCGAAAAAATCACCTTTATGGATGTTACATCTCATAATTGGATGTTACATCATTTTCAGATATAAGCTTTAACCTGTAACATTTTTAAATGGTCCAAATTCATCAGCTAATGCCTTCTTTATGCAATACTATATCTATGAGTTCACACAATTTTGATTACATGTATCTTCTTTGTTATCAGTACTCTCCTTTATTAAAAATTGCGAATAAACTCGTTATAACAACCCAACAGAATCACTATAAATGTTTGAAGCAAAGTTTAAACTTCAGTTCTCCACCACAGCACATCAAGCAAGTAATTCATGGCTGCTAATAGGTTAAGGGCTGGTTTAGCTTATTTTAAAGATTTGGCCAATAAGCTTCGTTCTCAAAGTCCAGATTTGAGTAAAGACGTTACGCTGAGTTGACAAGATGATATTTCAATAGATTCATCTCAGTGTTGATGAAATATCAGGTTTATAATGGCTCAACTAAGTATCATTTAATGGAATCGATTAGCTCAAAGAGATTATTTTTTACTAGAGTTTAACATCCATGTTATAGTGATTTCTGAATCTTGTTTCCAGGCAAAATGTGATGGACCGTGAGATGATGGAGAACATGCAGTGGTTGCCTATGTTTTAAAACTTAATTGTGTATTAATTTGATAAATAGAATAAAAAGAAGAAAATAAAAATTAAAAAATCAACGAACTCAAAAAGTTGTTTATCTATTAAAAAATAATTTAATAAAACTATCTTAACCAGTTTTCATTTTAG